CCCACCCCACCACACCCCTTTTTTAAATAGGTGACGTCATAAGTATGTATGCGGTATTTGAGTTTTGATTTTGTTATGTTTGAAGTTTATAAATATGTTACCGTTTGAGCATTCTGTTTTCTTATTGGAGAGTACCACGTGGCATTTGAAGTTGAAGTTACCATGTGGTATTTGAAATTACAAAGCGTTTTTTAAAAATACGATCGATCTAGCAATCTATTCGATTTCTTATTACTAGATGGCTGACTTCAAAAGTTATGTTCACTTTGATTAAAATTTATGTATAGTGTGTGTTTGTCTGTGCGAGCCTGAGTGTGTGTTAGTGTGTATGTATGTGTGTATGTGTGTGTGTGTACGTTTGTGTGTGTGTGTGTGTGTGTAAATGTAGTGTGTGTGTGTGTGCGCACGGGTTTGTATGGGTTTGTGTGTGCACGTACGAACAGAAGTAGAGGGGAGGAGGAGGTGGAGGAGGAGGAGAGAGAGAGAGAGAGAGAGAGAGAGAGAGAGAGAGAGAGAGAGAGAGAGAATAGAAATGCTGCATTAAAAGAAAACGATAACCGGTTAAACAGGTGCAAGAGATATTTTGTAATATAAGCTGCAGTTTACCCTTACCCGAGACAATCCCATTAAAGGTTTTAGAAAGAAAGCGCATTCAAAACTCTACAATTAAAGAAAAATACCCACATAAAAATGAAGTAGGTAAAACTTGGGGAAAAAACACATCCACCGTTTCTTTTTTATTTTTGCTTTTATTAACAAATTCTTTGACAAGTTAAAAAAACCAACAGCCCAACCTTAGGACCGGGTATTCTTTTAAAGATACATGTACGTGTTTTAAACGCTGGTCATGTTTTTGACACACGATTGTTCCATCGTTTAAAAGCAGATTCGATACAGAGACATACCTGCACGTAAGATCATCAATCCCACTCAATGGTTGCGTAACTACACCTTTCACATCGTTAATTAACTCTTCTTCTTGTTTGTACAGACACACCTCTTTAGAAATTTATGTTGAATAGATTGCAAGGGTTATTGTGTCGATTTGTCGATTTGCTTCTTTTACCCAAATAAACAAAGAAACAGACATGCATGAAGCTCTGTATATTTAGGTCTGCATAATGCTAAGACCAGATATTTGTAAGCAGATGTTTTTGTTTTTTTTCTTTGGCTGACCACAATGTGTGCAACAGAAAAACTCGTGGGTCATTGTGAATCTGCTGAGTGGAAACAACACCTGACGGGTTTTAAAGTACATGTATTAGCTCTTCTTTTCCAAACATAGTCAGATCGTGGATGGTTGGCGGGTGTTCTCTTGCGGTTTGCTTTCCCGTTCCTGTCAAGCATCTATCGTCCTTACCTCTCCTCCTTCTTCCTTGTGTTTGTAACACCTCTAATCTTCAGCTCTTATAATTATGGCCTTATTGTGTTGCAAGTGCCGTGAAACTCGTATTAAAAAACTAAAGCATTCTGAAATATCACATCGTGTTTTTGTCAGGATCTGTAACTATTTTCTCTTCATAAAAAAAAAGTCATCTTCCTGACTTTTATAATATTTTTACTTCGACTCCCACGTCTTGAGACGTAGGAAGCAATTAGAGACGACCAGGAAGATCTGTCTACAGCTAAGGCGGAAACACCAGTTCATTTCTTGTCTTACAAATTTCAGTTTACGATTCAAAGTCTAAGACAAGGATAAAATATTACACCCCTC